AAGTTTTGGAGTACCTGTATCAAGTGTTTTGGGCCTAAACACCATCCCACCTTCCATCCAGTTACATTGAAACTCTTTCCGGCACTCCCCAAAGTAACAGTGCGCTCCAACATGTTCGAAATCCGTTGCCAAGGCAACCACTCCTCCCTCTTAATCTGATTTTTCTATAAATTCCTATACCATGCTGCTGGCAAATACAACAAAACAACCGTTTGATGCAGGAACAAAATTACTTTTACTGATGTGATAACCTAATAAACTTATTTAACAACTCCCTTGAAGATAACAATAATAATAATAATAATAATAATAATATACAACATTTGATATAGTGCTCTATCTAGCTAACATACGCCACTCTAAAGCGCTTTACAGTACATAGATATACATTTAATATTATTAGCATATAAATTAATCAATACAATTTTGATGAATTCGCAGGAGCTGCCCCATCAGGCGCTAGCTACTAGTCCTATGCCATCTGGCTAATATCTCCATATGTGTGTATGCCTGCCTGTGTGCTGGAGATGTAACGTGTCATTTTTTGTATTGGGACCATGAGATACAAGTTATTCTGATTCTAGTTAGCAGTGGCATAGCAACTTCTTATTATTCATACATGTAGTTTTTTTAATCTGTACTTTAGTTTTTCCAACTCGAAAATGTATCTGAATTAAATTTCATAATTCAAATTACATCAAACTTGTTAATTGCAGGTAATGTTTTCGAAAAAAAAATCAATTATCTTTCAAAATTCCAGGAAAATCATTGTAATTAACTTTTAAAATTCAAGAAGTCAAAAAGTTGATATGGAGAAATATAAGCAAACGGGTTACTATAACGACTGCTACTGTACATATATATGAACATTTTACATGCTTTTAATCTAATCTATCATTTTACTTAATTGCATTTACAGCATTCATTTATAAACTTACTGTTTTTTGTAAAGGAAATATATTGTTGATTAAGTCTTTACACACCAAAACTAAATAGAAAAAGTTAAACTACTGTAGGGGAGGGGGTTATTTTCAGGAGAAGGGGTAAAAATTGGTGACATATATTTGTGACAAATAGTTTGCGTGGATGTATATGTGTCATCGTTTTATTATTTGTTCAATTTAATTATGGATATCTTTAAATCGATTCATGGATATCACTTATTCAATTTATGGATAAAATTATTTCAAAAAGAATTCAGATATACATATTTTATTTATGGATATATCTTATTCCATTTATGTATGTTTATAATTCACTTGCATTTATGGATATCCATGAATCTTAAGATTTTGATAATTGTAATATAATTAGAGGTTTCATTAAGTATATCAATAAAAATAGTGAACAAAAAGTAAAATGTGTGCCGTTTTACTTTTCATTCACTAGTTATTCATTTTCATAATTCATTTATGGATATCCATAATCAAATTAAGGATATCATTATTTCCAATTTTGGATAACCGTACATTTGCATAAATTATTGATATCCATAATTCATTTATTGATATCAACAATTTCGGTTATGGATATCTCTTGCATTGACGGATATCCATAGTTTTACTTATGTATATCAATAATTCAAATTATAGATATCCATAAATATTAAGTAGTATATGTTTTGTTATACCAAATAAGCTAACTAACTTACATATAGACATCAAGGGATCAAAGAGATCCTTTAAAATGAGACATCAACGACCCTTTTATCTAGAAAATTCAAGTTCAAAATGAAGTTAATTCAAGGTAAAACCGGATCCTGTTAATACTAGTATCGTTTAACATGTTTTTAACAGAAAAGAACATGTGTCAGTTAACTGTCAGAAGAATAAACAGATTTTGGAATACCCTGGGCATCTTGAACAATCCCCAATTTTTAATCCCAAGATACCATAGAACTGGAGCTATGTAGTGCACAGACTCTAACTACAAGTGCACCTGCCCGACATTTAGAGTTCCATACAACAACATTAATACAATTATGTTCAATCCACAGAATATACTTTTTGGAAGAGACATGTATATATCGTCATTTTCCTTGTGGACTTAAATCATCTAGTTATGTCCATATCACTTGTCGCTTTTCCATTTGTTCATCTTCCACCACCCCTGCAGGTGAGGAATCGTTGAAAGAATACACCTTCTTTTACCTAATGCATGGTTTCGTAGGAGGCGACTAATGAGAGACCCCTGCATAATTTGGATCCTCTATTTGGAGACACGAAATCTGCTATACCCATTGTATTATTTGGGATCTTTATCTTTCTTTCTACTTCTAACTGCCTTTTATTTCCTAGCGCCTTGGTTGGCAACACCTCACTTTTGACATTAATGTTGAGCGTTCGCTCAGGTGAGGAAGGTAATGAGTTCTGTTCACAGGTGCTCGGGTTCTGGAATATATGTGATATATAATCGCCCCCCCTTATACTCATAAATCATAAAGGTACGACAGCCGCCATTTTGTTTTGGGGTGAAGCCGACTGCACTTCCAATTTTAAACTCGATTTCGTACTTACCTTGGGCTGTCAGGTCTTATCCTTCGCATCAGATCTCTTTAGTAATGTCTTTCATTCACATCCGATCACACAAAACCACCACAATACCTTTTAATTAAGCTTTTCACACAGCATATTCGTATCGTACCGCCAATTTTTAACTTCTGATGACTGAAGTACTACGCGATCCTGGCGGCCGACAAATAAGGGGACATAACACCAATGCGTTTTTTAAAAATCCGGTTTGTAAACGTGATAAAGTGCGCTAATCTTTTATCAACACACAACATGGATAAGCAGAACGAAGCAGTTTCGTTTATCAGATCGGGACACAATTTAGTACTAACTGGACATGCGGGTACTGGAAAAAACGTTTACTATTGCAAAATGTGCAAAACTTCTCCGGGTTAATGGGAAAAATGTATCGTTATGCTGCTACACAGGGGTATAGCATGTCAACAGTATCCAGGACTTGGTGCTACAACTCTTCATCGGTTTTCTGGATTGGGGGATGGACGATTTACGCCAGAGGTTTCATGTAATTTTATTATGAATGACCAGCGATATGAACAAACAAAACAAAATATCAGAGACACTGATGTACTTATTATTGACGAAGTCTCCATGGTGAGCCGACTGATTTTGAGGAAGGTAGAACTGATATGTAGGATGGTAAGAGGAAACCAGTCTTATTTCGGAGGACTACAGGTAATTCTAGTTGGAGATTTGTTTCAGCTTCCTCCTGTAAAGGATCACTTGTATGGTGATTTTGGTCATCTATGTTTTACATGCAAGTTCTTTAGTGACTGTTTCCCACACTCAATTACTCTAACTCACATATACAGACAGAAGGAACCAAACTTAACAAGGGCTGTAAATGAACTAGAAATGGGTGACATTAGTGATGACACCAATGTATTTATTCAAAGTTTATCTCGCCCTCTGGATCATCTTGAGTCAACTGATTTTCAAGGAACATTGATGTCGATGTGTACAATTACAATAAATTCAACGATATTCCTGAAGAATTACATGTTTATGAATCAGAGGACACAGAAGATATACGTTATCTAAACAAATTCATCGCGCCAAAGCGTTTAGGAATAAAACTGTATGTGCCAGTGATGTTGTTGAAAAACATTGATGGGAAGCTGGTCATTGGTCTTACCGGAAATATTGAACAAATTAACAAGGACTCCATTGATGTTAACTTTATGATTCAGGATAAGAGTGTGATAGCCAACATCAAAAAGTGCAGCTTCAGCAAGTACGACCAGTAAGCAACATTTGTCTAGCACACCGCGCTCAATACCCCTTAAAATTGGCCTTTGCCATGACTATACACAAGTCACAGGGGATGACAATTCCTGCACTTGAAGTAGATTGTAAGCATGCCAATCAACCTGGACAACTAGGTGTTGCTATTGGGCGTGCATCATGCAGTAATGGTCTCCGCGTGGGAAATTTCAAGCCATCATTGTGTCGCCGCCACCCCACTGAAGTGTAGAATTTCATGGACACACTAACGTTGGGTATTGTCAACCCTGACCTGTCTTGTTGTCAAGCACAGACTGCTAGTGATCTTAAGGAAAAGGATTACTCTCAACCTCAGGATGATCAACAGCCAGACTCAGATTTCAGTGAGCTTGCTTTTTCAGAAGAGATTCTTGACGAGATAGAAAATATGGAAAATTCCCATGAACACCAGGATCACAGTTACCCCAAAACTGGCTGTGCTATCAGTAAGCATGTGCTCGATTTGATTGATCGTGCATTTGATGATTTGATAGTCACTCCAGAGGAGAATAATGCATGCTCTGCGAAAGAATATTTATTACAACATGGAGATCAGACCAAACAATTCTGCTCTGCACAAGAATCAAAAGTAACCGAGATATTTGAAAAAACATGTGGTCAAGACAATGTATTACCCAGACTTCTATTCAAAATTCAATGAATATTTGAATTCTGATGATTATTTACATTCAGCTAATTCTCCAGCATCATGTTCATTATCCAGGCTGATGTGCTTCAGAAAAATGCTGATGCTGCAAAGAAAGAAGACAGTGATTTACAAATACAGCCAACACTTGAATCTACCACCTAAACCCCAGGAAGAGAAAAAATAAGATATATAGGTGGATATGTTGTTGGGAAACTGAAATACAATTATTCAAGAATGCTCAGGAATAGTTTGTTTGTTCCTGGTTTGAAGTGTGAAGTGAAAAAGTATCAGTCACTCATTCAAATATTGGATGGAATGAGTGTTTCAGCAGCAGAAATCTCACAAATTAGTTACTGCGAAGAGACATTAAATGAAACGACCAGAAAGCAAAATGTTTCTGAAGGTTTGACAAACATACATGACAGCACTTTCATTTTTTTTTTGAAAAACTGGAATCAGAAGTGAGATCCCTCATGAACATTTCAACACTTACAGCACACAGAAAAGATCTTTACAGAAGTGTCAAATCGTCACTGTGATCAAATACCTCACTGACTGAATCATTCTGTAGATGTTACTGTCACAACAGAGTGTCTGCTGATGAGGACGAGGAGGAGCTGTCTGATTGCCGGGTTGTCATCAATGAAGTCTGTGTGAAACTTCAGGAAACATGTGAACTCCTGGAGGCGTTGCTGCAAAAAAATATTCGTTTGTTTTTATCTGTTTCTGTTGCACAGTTTAGAAAGGATTATTTAACAGCAGTCAGAAGAGTGAAAACAAATGCTTTGAGGAAAATATTAATGGAGGAAAGCACAAAAGCACCAAAATTGTGTATTGCTTGACACGAACTTTATAAAAAATGACACCTCGGATCGCAAGATTGTTTCTCATTTAAGACTTAAAACTGCATCTCTGGAACATGAGAGTTTGAACAGTTTTGCAAAAGCTGAACTTCTTTGTATTTCCAAAGCATATGGCAACAAACTATCTGGAAGCATAAAAAAAGCTGAAGTGATGAAAATGTTGCAACAGACAATTATTGGGTCTGAATATATACAGAACCCAGAACTTTTGATTACCACCACTGCCACCACCTGCAGTACTGTGACTGTGAGTACAAGCACAGCCAGTACAAGCACAGCCATTGATCATGAGAATAATACCTACCCCTAGCATTAGTATTGCCAGTTCAGGTTCTCATTCCCCCAGCCCTGTAAAAAGAAGGAAAAGAAAAGTATCGAAGAAATCTACAAACCAGAAATCTAAAAAGCGGAAAAGACAGCAAGAAAGGGAAGATGATTGGGATGACACAAATGATGATACATGTGGTATTTGTGGAAAGCTTTTAAAGAAGGGGAGGATTGGATTTGTTGTGAAGCATGCTCTCTTTGGTTTCATCGATACTGTGTGAATTTGGAGGATGAAAAAGAATGGTCAGAATGTTCAGACTCCGGAGGGATATTCACCTGCCCACTGTGTGTTTAGAGGTAAGTGTATGTAATTAGGTCCTTTCCTTTAGCATGAAACACTATCCCTTGTATAGTCCTCATATGATTGTTAAAGATTCCAAACATTATACAGAATGAGGAGCCCACGATCTATATATATAGTGCCTCAGAATGGCTTATGCTGTTTATGGGACATACCCTAAGGCCAAACAAAAAAGTATATGTTTCATGTAACATGTTGAAAATATGTAGGTAACATAATTCATTTATAGGAGTGATCTTGACTTCAAGTGCTTCTTTGAAAATTGCCTCAAAAAGTTCAGAGTAGGCACAAACCACTTGGGTAGGTAGGGTTACCAGAAACACTAAATATGTTTTGTTTGGCCCCATATATTTATTAAATGTTTAAAGTTTAGAATATAACTTGATATTTATAATGTTTTACAACACATTTTTTTCATATTTACCTAACAGATCTATATCACTTCTGCTGAGTGGTGTTTTGGATACTTTGGAGTGGCTGTCGATACACCTGAGCTCCTTGTTGTCCTGTTTGCCCCGTGTTTGACCTCTTCGACAGAGACGTTTGTCCAAGAATTATCGTGTTCGTTTGTACGTGAATATGTCAGGTAATCTGGGTTAGTGTTAGCACCATTATGGGGTCCTCTTTGCAGAGAGAATATATTCTCTATAATGTCACTGTTTATTCTGTCTGGTACTACAGATGAAGATTTCCGGAATCTCTCTCTACACATTTCATCAAATCCCATTAACAAGGAAATAATGACCTCTCGATGTTTGATAGGAGAGTAACTGGTGTTCTTTCTCTTTCTCAGAAATTTCAGTAGATTCCTTCACTTCTTTTTCCCAGTTTTGGGACCATTTCAACACATCCCTATTTTTTTTAGTCTTATGTCCTCATATTCAGTTATCGGGCGATGATCCCTAATGTTTTCCACTAACACTGATGTCTGCCGCAGAACTTCAATACTGCTATTAAGCTAACAGCCCTTTTCCTCAAGTGTTTTTTGGTAACACTCCATATTCTTGTGCAAGACATCCTCAGCCAGCTTATTTCTCATTTTGAGTTGGAAGTTGGGGAAAAAGTGGTCCTGTGTTAACTGTTGGTATACTTTGAAAGGATTAACAGAAGTATCTAACTGGTATGCTTTGTACCAGTGTTCCCATAGAATGTATATTGTACCAAATTTGAGATTTTTTTCGTGGTTTTTGGAAAATCCACATTTTGAAATATTGTTATAATTTTTTTCATGACATGAGAGTAGTCCATTATAACAGTATTTTTGGGTGTTCAGGGATCACAAACATCACTAAACATCATTGTAGACATGGTGATAGATGTCTTCCCAGTAATAAGCATAAAGTCGCTATTGGTCTGTGCTTCATCTAAACTCAGGAAAGTAACACTGAACCCATATAGTCCTAACATTTGAACTGCTCTTCAGAATAAAAGAAACAATTCTGATGCATTGACTTGACGTTTTGGTACATGTCCAATCGGAAATCGAAAATCAGTATGTCCCAAGAAAGCAATTGCAGTACATGGTTTGCTAAGTGTAATGTAGGTTTATTACTCATCAGTTTGTCCATAGTTAATGACTCTGGTGTACAATCAGTGAAGTCTATAATATATGTTCATATTCATCCCCCACCTTTTTCATTTGTAAATCTTCTTGAAGTGACATCTCATCAATGATAAGGCCTCCTTCATAACCGTCTGGGCTAAGGTTTTGATAAGTAGCCTCATTCTTCATCCAGTAAATGATGTCTTTATTTGTTCCAGGTTCTTGGTTGACTTCATTCTTATATCTCTGGAGAAGCCTCTGTGAGGGAAGCACAACAAAACCACTTTTGGAGATAACTTCTTTGGAGAGCGACAGTATATGGTTAGACATAATCAAAGTATGTCTTTGTCCCATCTTCTTGCCTGCGACATGTTCTTTATATTTGTTGTTTGAGATGCAATAAAAAGACGAAGTTTTTCTGGAATATCCTCATTTTTTCTAAAAGTTTTTGTAAAATGATGTTTAGATCTTGATCATCATCTTAAGTGAGAGTTATTGTTTCACACTGAGCAGGTTCCTGTGGTGTGTTCTTATCATCAATTTCATTTTTTTTTTTTTTGGTTTCTGATGAAGTTCTTTTCTACATTGACTGCATTCAGTGAAATGAGACATACTAGGAATAACAACATTGCACATTATACTTCTATACCTGATTCTTACATTTCCAATATCATCATCATGAGATCTTTGTTCTTTTAACAAATTTTCGTAGGAAACAAGATCAGATCCGTCTGGAAAGCAAACTCCAATGCAAATTTTCTTTTTCTTTACAGCTTCAACAACTCCAAGAATGGATGATTTCGTGTACTGATGTGTAGAGATGGTAGATCAATAACCTTCCCCGAGATGACAACATTCAGGTCTCCATTACCATTAAATGTTATTTCAGTGAATTCTTTATTTCCATTAATTGTATGGCCATTAAAATACCCAATTTTGACATATTGGTCTGTTTTCTTTATCTGAAACCACTCTGACACCACTCTGACACAATAATACGTATGTCATTTAATGTTATAACATTGTCACTTTCATCCACAATTTTTAGAATAATGACTTGGTATATTTTAGTCCGAACACCCAAGTTTTCTCCTTTTAGTCTTTTCTGTTTTATGATTATCCAAGGAAATAGTTTTTGAACAGCTTTGCCGATGACTTGCAAGCTATATTTTAGACCTATGGCTTTTTTCAGTTCATCAAATGACAACGTACCATTTTCACACCTGGTGATGTTTTCAAGAATCCTGAAAAAATAATACATGTACATTTGCTTTAAGATATGTTTATGTTTGATTGTATATGTAACAATTACATTAAAAAATCAATCAGTTATTACAGACACAAATATTTCTTATTTGTATTTGCTGAAATCACTTCACCAAGAGTTTTCAGCGACCATAAATTTCTAGAACTTATTTTCCTGCAAAAAGTGTAGTTTTTGAAAAGTCCTGTTCAGCTCAAATGCCTCTGCAGAAAAAAGTCCAATGATTTTCCAAAATCAAAGCCAACAATGGGTATATTGTCCAAAATGAAATCATGGTTTTTGTTGTAATATTTTCCAAAAATTACAAATAATAATCCGGTCAAAAAAAGGCAGAAAAATCACAAATTCACAAACATCATTCCTGTCAATAATATTTTTGATGCCTGTTTTTTTTTCTATTTTTTTTTTATCAGAACCATATTAACAACAAGAATGAGGATATATATAGTGATCAGTTACATTAATACATAAAAAATGGGTTGTCAACGTTTTCTTACCATGTCATCAAGAAATTTTCACCTTCTCTCGACATTTTCAGTTTTGCGCAATTTCTTGAATTTCCCGCAATAAGTGCAGTGCGGTACTCGCCTGATTTATCGTGTACCTTGTGTTACACTCGGCACTCCTCTTATTGGTGTTATGTCCCCTTATTTGTTGGCCGCCAGGATCGCGTAGTACTTCCGTCATCAGGAGTTAAAAATTGGCGGTACGATACGAATATGTTGTGTGAAAAGCTTAATTAAAAGGTTTTGTGTCATCTGATGCGAAGGATAAGACTGACAGCCCAAGATAAGTACGAAATCGAGTTTGAAATTGGAAGTCCAGTCGGCTTCACCTCAAAACAAAATGGCGGCTGTCGTACCTTTATGATTTATTAGTCTAAGGGGGTGAGATATCTACATGTGCGATTATATATCACATATATTCCAGAACCCGAGCACCTGGGTTCTGTTCCCAGGCCGAGACCTACCAAAGTCCTTAAACATGGTAGTTGTCATTCCCTGCTTAACTTTCAGCATTTAAAGAATGGCACCAACTGGTTCACTCGTTATCGGTATAATGTGACCGGGCGGAATGCTGTGCTGGGTGCCTTCGACATGGTATTCCAGTGGGATAGCACTATAAAAACGTCATGAGATCCGCGCTATCACAAGGAGGCAAGCACACTAACATATCCTTTCTCCTGCATACACACATGCAAGCACGCATGCGCTACACACATGGAGGCACGTCCTTAAATGATCTAAGTTGTTTATACCGACGAAAAGTGTGTTTTGACAACCCGTGGCGAGAATTGGAACTTGGCCTGAAAAGGTTGACGACCAGTAATTAATATTTTTACATATATAAGTGTCAAATAGGAGATCAATCTTGACTTTTACAGTGCAAGATTATCCGATAATTCATTAACTTGCGTAGCTCATAATTAAGCGTTTGGATAAGACTAATTATGGATCGCTGTCCCACGGCACATTATTTTCAATAAATTTTAAATTTGTGCTTCAACCTACTATATGATCAGTATAAGACAAAATCAATTTCATTTGAGTATGGAAGTAAAAAAAAACTGTGACGTAACACGTTGTTTACTTATGGCATCATTGGTTAACCTTGTTCGATGAGAGTCTAGGCCCTCCGCTTCGAAGGGTTGTTCAGTCAATTTCATTTAAAGGAACATGGGTATATAGACCTCAAAAAATACATGATTTTTAAATGAAATAAAATAGAACAAATGTTCTACAGTACAAATGTAAATATATAAGCTTAAATTAGTTTAATGGTAGACGATTAGTTTGAATACCTTGGTAGCTAATTAAAATAGCTTTGTTCGTCCAGTGAAATCTCTTACCGGGTAGAAGTATGGCATTTAGCCTCTTTGAACATTGCATTATTTTGCCTACCAGGCTCATGTGTCGTTAGAGCAGGAGATGCATTGAACGAGATAAGGGAAAGGCTTGGAGTAAAACTAAAGCATCCAAAGAAACTCTTTGAAAGAAAAAGAAAGATCGCTGCCGACCTGATCATTCCTATGATGTCTGTCAAAGTTGTTTGTTTGTTTGTTTGATTTTGTTTAACGTCCTATTAACAGCTAAGGTCATTTAAGGACGGCCTCCCCTGTGTGCAAGATGCATGCGTGTAGTGTATGTGTGTGTATTTTGGGAGGCTGCGATATGTTCGTGTTTGTCTCCTTGTGATAGCGCGGAACTGATGCCGACTTTATAGTGCTACCTCACTGAAACATACTGCCGAAGACACCCAGCAGGACGCCCCACCCGGTCACATTATACTGACAACGGGCGAACCAGTCGTCCCACTCCTAATTTGCTGAGCGTTAAGCAGGAGTAGAAACTACCATTGTTAAAGACTTTGGTATGTCTCGGCCAGGGGACAGAACCCAAAGCCTTCCTCACAGGGGCGAACGCTCAACAAATGGCCAAAAGTGAGGCATTGTCAAGGGAGACATTAGGAAGAAGAAAGTTATTTAGAAAGGAGAGAAGCGATAAGGTCCCAAATGTAGTCGCCTCTTACGATCATGCAATTGGGGGCAGCAGGTACAATTCTTACGCCCTACCTGCAGGGACTGTCAAAGTTGGAAAACATGGTAACCAAAAAATACCTTTCATACCAGTGAACGTAGCCAGTATACAGGAAACCTGTTATAAACAGAAGTTATGGTCTGATTCAAGGGGATTGTAAATTGTGTTTTCAAGTGAACAGTTTTTATAGTGTTACCATGACCAGGAAAAAAGGGAAACCTTCCAAAAGGAAATCCAGTGGAAGCAGTCTGAAGGATATTCAGTCTACTAAAAGGCAGAAACCACAAGTAAGTGAAACTGCTAGCAACTCAGAATTCAAACTCGAGTTCACTGACTGTGCAGACACTGACATACACTTTCCAAATATGACTGCCATTGATTCCGCACAAAAAGAACTTGTCGACTCGATTATCTCTGCATTCGAAATCCAAAGGTTCTGGAAAGTTTTGCTGTAAATTCAAAATTAAACCAGAAAATTGAAGCTTTGCAAAGTAAACTAAAAATCAGGCATCAAAGGATTAATGAACTTGAAAACAAGATGAATGATCTGGAAATGTACAGCATGGGAGATGGTATAAGAGTACACGGCATACCTAAAACAGAGGGTGAAAATACTGATCAGATTATTCTGGACATTGCAAGGGAAACTGGTGCCAAGGTTCCAGCGTTTTGGCTTGGGAGGAGTCACCGTATCGGACGCAAATAGGAGGGGAAACCAAGGCCAATTATTGCAAAGTTTATCTCACACAATTTTGATGTTGAAATTCTAAGGAATAAAAAGCATTTGAAAACCATTGACACAGCCAAAATAGCCCATAGATGTAACAAAATATTTATCAATGAGGACCTATCCAAAACCAGAGCTAGCTGGGCTAAGAACGCCAGACAAATGAAACTTGATGGCAAGTGGACACTAACATATCCTTTCTCCTGCATACACACACGCAAGCACGCATGCACTACACACACGGAGGCACGTCCTTAAATGATCTAAGTTGTTTATAGGACGTTAAACAAAATTAAACCATTAAACAAATCATCTTCGACTCTTTATGTCGTTGATTTGTTTTGACAGGTATATCATTTGTGTTGCCTACGCCTCGTCATCTGCGTTCCCTATAATATACATTTTTTTCATTAATTGTTTTTCTTTTTCTATTTTAGATGGGCATAGTGGCACCATACTACATAGTAATCATGCTTTTTCTAATTCCAAATATACCAAGTTCCCAGATTAGAATAGGACCTCAGTACTCATGCTTGCTTAAAATAGGGTCTTTCGGAAGAGACCTTAAACCGAGGTTACGTGTCACGTCAGGCGTCTGGGGAAGGGTATACGTAGTAGGGAGGGGATGTTGGGGGTGGGGGTGGGGGCCTCTAACAGATCTCAATACGTAATAATACAGTTAACGCAAACATTCTCATTATAGTGGTGTTCTTATCTTATCAAGTTAAAG